GAGGTACATCTTACTTACTTACTTACTTACTTACTATAGAGATTTAACGTGCGCTTTCCGACTGATGCGTATTTCGCACACGGGCGAAAGTGGTGTACGCAACCCAAGAGGAGGCTTTAGGGGTTGCTTATATAAAATTTGGGAATTTTGAGATTTGGAATAGATGCAGATGGGGTTGGGGAGGAGAACTAAGGGAGCTGGGTATGGTGGATGTTTGTTTGTTTATGTGATTTTGATTTGGTAGATTATTTTGTTTTTAGATGCATTTTATTAGTTCCGTTTTGATTAAGAATACGCCTAAGGCCTTGAAGTTTTCTTGTTTATTTTGTGGGTTTAATATTGCTTCTAGAGTGAGAGCCTTGTTTAGATTGAGGGTGGTTTGTAATGCGGTTCGATGTGTAAGGTAGTGTGTGCAGTGGATGAGTGAGTGTTCTGGGGTTTCTAGTTGTTTGCAGTGTGGGCAGTTACCTGTAGTGTGTTTTTTTAATTTTTTTTAGGTAGTTATTTAGGTTGGTGTGTCCTGTTTGGAGTTTAGTGATTACTCTGTCGATTTTTTTTGATGGATTGTGAATTTTTGGTTTGCTGAGTACTTTTTTATTTGGCTATTTGAGTTTAGATATAGGTTATGCCATTTTTTGGTGGTTTTTTGCTTGTTTACACTTTTAATTTATGAATTTGAGATGAGTAAGTTTAAGCTTATTTCTGGGATTTTGAGGGATAGTTTAGCTGCTTTATCGGCGTTTTCAGTACCGTATATTCCTACGTGGGTGGGGATCCATAAGAATGTTATTTGTTTGCCTGCCTTAGTTAGGTCGTTGGAGCTTTTAAGTATTTGATTTATTAATTTAGGTCGGTTTTTGGTATTTTTGTTTTGGAGGGCTTGCAGTCCACTTAGGGAGTCTGTAAGTATTAGGATTTTTTGGTGGTTTTTGGATTCTTGATTATGGAGGGCTGAGGCCATGCCTGTTAGTTCTGCCGTGAATTTTGATTGGTTGTTTGGGAGTCGGATGGATTTTGTGGTTTAGTTGGTTGTGTGTAGACTAAAATCTAGTCTCTGAAATGAACATATCCTATATAAAAAAAACAGTTGTTCAGTTATCTTAATAAAAATATGATAAAAAGGAGCCCAGTGACTCTCTCTGAAATGAACATATCCTACATAAAAAAAAAACAGTTGTTCAGTTATCTTAATAAAAATATAATAAAAAGGAGCCCAGTGACTCTCTTCATTTAGATACTGCAGCGATCTAGACTTGCCAAACATTATAGACTTGCATGGGCTGTATTTGATATATATTTGTATCAGGGTCTGTAAGACAGACTAGGTTGTGTGGTATGGACTCCGAAACCTGTGTGTTTGGAGGTCGGATCTGAAGATCCGTCCGTGTAAATGTGACACCAATTTGGCCAATTTCTGTGTATGTATGCTAGTGTGGTGGTTTTAGCTATGTTTGGGTCGGTTTGTTTATTTATTTAGCTAGCTAGTGTTGTGTCTATTTTGGGTATTTTAAGTTTAGGGGTGAAGATATTTGATTATTTGCAGTTTTGTTTAAGATTTTTAATTTGGTGTTCATTTAGGTAGTTTGTTATCTTTGGGATATTGGGGTAAGTAAGGGGTGTTTACGAGCTAGAGCTTGGTATTTGGGGCTGATATTTTGGTTTAGTAAGTTTTGGATGAGAGGGTTTGATTGGGACGCGGCCCAGAAATTTAAGCTTAGCTGTTCCCTGCGTAGACTTAGTGGCATTTCTCCTGTTAAGGCATGAAGTGAAGTGTAGGAGGTGCCATGTTGGGTGGGTGTAATTTGTTTGAGAGCCTGATATTGTATTGGGTCAAGTTTTTTAGATAGAGAGTTGTTTAGGGTGTTGTATATGGCGCAGCCGTAGTCTAGTTTTGATCTAATTAGTGATATGTAGAGAGAGGGTCTCTTTGGAGGCTCTCCAGTTAGAGCCAGTTAGGCATCTTAGCGTGTTTAGGTCTTTACTGCATTTAGTTGTTAGGTTTTGTATGTGAGCATCCCAGGAGAGATGTTCATCGAAAATAAGTCCTAAGAATTTGGTTTGTTTTTGAAATTTGATTGTTTGATTGTTTAGCTGGAGGATTGGGAGGCGGGTTTCATGTTTTTATGTTTGAATACTATTCCTGTTGTTTTTTCTGAGTTAAGGGAGAAGCCCCATTTGTCAGCCCATTGTTGTATTTTATTTAGAGATTTTTGGAGTAAATTTTGGGCCATTTTAATGCTTTTAGTGCGGATCCAGAGGGCTCCATCATCCGCGAATTTTGATGTGTTTAGTTTAGGGATGAGGTACATCGATGATGCAAGGTATTTATGTACAGTTGTAAACACCTTTCACTCAAATTAACAAGATGTTCTCAGTAATTAATCCTCGATTAATCAGTGTCAACTCAGTTTATTGCCTATTACAGTGATTGACCGCTTGGACTATCATGTAGGTACGATGTATTTACAGCAATCAAAACAAACAAAGCTTGTCAGTGTAGATAATCTTCATTGTGTTACAACTGCAGACAGAAACTGTCATGTCAGATCATGTCCGGTCAAAATTTAAGAATGTCCGGATAGAAAAATTTAAATGTCCGGTAAGCAATATTTTAAACCGGACATTTGAGATTCCCAATCGGACATGTCTGGCGCATATGACAGTTTCCGGACCCCTGGTGTTGGGTATGTACTACAATCACACACAGATAACTCAGTTCCACATTAGTAATGACAAGTGTAATTGGAAAGTACACAATTTTAATGTAGAGGAAATGGAACACACAAAGGGGTCAAAAGACAAAGTCAGTACCAGGTATGACCACCCCTGGTTACAATGCATACCAGTCAACGCCTTCTCATGGACAGTATCATGGATAACAGCTTGTTGTATCCAATGACACTAACGTTGCAGGATAAGTGCCAGCTCTCTAACATTGGCTATTAGAGGTTGACGTGCAATCGGCTGTACAAGGTAGTCCCACAAGTGCTCCATGGACTATGGATCGGAAGATAACGCAGGCCATGGCATTACAGGTACGTGGAAGCACGTACTGTATGTGTTCTGGCGTCTTGTTGGAAAGTATGCAGCTCTTGGTGTTGACGGAAACAGGGGACAATGCGACGTCTTAAAATGGCATTCCTGTAGTAAACTGGAATAACATGACCTAGGTATACATGGAGCTGTGCTGAAAACACAATACCCGTATACGTCCATCAGCATTCCTGAGGTGAAATCTGAATTCATCAGAGAAGAGAACACCATGCCAGCGTTGAAGTAACCATTGTCTCTGCCTCAGCAACCACTGTAGACGTGCATTTCAGTGCCTAAGGGTCAGAATCAGTCCTATGTAAAGATGGGCATGTAAACCAGCGACATGAATCAGTATCGTGGCTGAAAACTCCTTGTCAACCTACGATGGTAGCTGCTGTTCTGGATGCCAGAAGTGTTCGATCACGTAGATGTGCCCTCACTATCTGTCGGTCTTCCCTGACACATTTTTGTCCTGGGCGTGGTTGGTCTCTGGTACGTCCCGTCTTCTGAAATTGCTCGTTCAGTTTTGTGATGGTACGGTGATGACATCCAAACCTTGCTGCCATGGCCCTTGTAGTCATGCCAACTGAACCTAAAGATCGCTATGATGGAGAAGCAGATGAGGAACTAGACATAATGGCACCAGCAGGTGACGCCACAGGAAGAAGCAAAGAAGGAGGCAAAGCCAAAAAAACCAGCAAGTTCAAAAAGTAGTAGGCATGCACCAGGTACAGTGGAAGCAGTAGGTATCATACAAGGTGGACGGGAAATGACATCCAATGATGAAGCTGTACCAGGTGCAGGGAAGGAAGGAAAAATGAAAGTGGAAACCCAGGTGCTCGTTTTTGACTCGATGCTGTGGAAACTGCATCCCAGGAAAAAGCCAGGCGTTTCTGTAGGAGACATAGAGATGGTAGGAAACGTACGTGGTAGACATAGAGAGTGATAAAGTCAAAGTTGTCCATGTACAGCTAGAAGCTCCAACTCTTGGGGATGAAGTAGTGATGGCCATGGTGGCAGCACATTCAGAAAAGGAAATGAAAATTACATTGGAAAAACAACAAAAATCCACATAGCAGGTGGGCATGCAAGAAATCATTGGAATTAACAATGAAAACACAATCACAGATTGACAGGCATGTATATGAGTGAAAGAAACATACACAAGGTATGAATCCCCCCACACAGGCGATCAATGTGAGGAGAAGGAAGAAATGGTCATTGAAAATAATTTAATCAAAGCATCAAAAGAACAATGGTGAAACACCAGAAAGTAATCATCTGTGAAGGATTCCAATGGGTGACAGATGGTCACAGGTGGTGATCAGAAAGATGAGGATGATCAAGGGAGCGGGAATAGTCTATGGGTGCATTCAGTCGAACAGTTTTCACTGTGTTATGGTCAAAGACGAAAGATAGACATTTAATACTATCATATCAGGGTTAGGACAAATAAACGAGTCCTTTTCACATTTAGCATTTACAAGAGTACGAGTCATGGATCCGGATGACAAGAACATCTGTTACTTTTAGGAGCCAAGACAACAATGTCAACCCAACACTTACAGCTTGGTCCCACTACGTCTCCTACATTTCATATGCCTAAGAGAAAAGCTGTTGATATTCAAAGATAGAGGAGGAGGTAAGTTTTAAAAAAATTTTAATTTGACGTTTACACGATGTACGTCTTTGTACAAGAGCTCGGTCACATGACCGCAAAATTGACGTTCATAAGTGTATGAACACGCAAACTCGCAAGCTCCGACATTCATACAGTTTCACCCTCACTCCATAAAGGTTCATACTCCAATGAACTCACACAAAGTGAAGGTCAATTCTTAAGTATTAACATAGCCTTTCCCAACAGCTTCCCAGGCGGATTAATTGATAAATGGCCACTCCATATCTTAACTAGCATCAACTAGAGTCAACAACACACTTAAAACAAACAGCTTGGTTTAAATTACCTGACAGAAGATCATGGACTGTCCAATAGATATTGTACCATAGATGTTGGACAGTGCCTGGAACTTATCTTCTACATCTTGGCACTCAATGTAATATTGTTTGATGTTGTCTAAGCTCTCCTCCTCCCGACGCAGCCGAATCACAACAGGGTCATTGGGAATGACAGCTTGTGCAAATTTCATTACTTCTGCATCATAGGTTGCCGAAAACAGCAACATCTGACACTGACTTCCAAGGTTCCTGGTGAAAGACAGAGTTGTATGTTAAAGTGACATGTCATCATGATGCTTGTGGCCAATGACACATTGTTACTACCTCTCCGACCACTACCAATGACACATTAAGAGTTCTTGGATCAAGTTACTCCTTCTCTGACCACTACCAATGACACATTGTGCATTCTTGGATCAAGTTACTCCTTCTCCGACCACTACCAATGACACATTGTGCATTCTTGGATCAAGTTACTCCTTCTCCGACAACTACCAATGACACATTGTGCATTCTTGGATCAAGCTGCTACTTCTCCGACCACTACCAATGACACATTAAGAGTTATTGGATCAAGTTACTCCTTCTCCGACCACTACCAATGACACATTGTGAATTCTTGGATCAAGTTACTCCTTCTCCGACCACTACCAATGACACATTAAGAGTTATTGGATCAAGTTACTCCTTCTCCGACCACTACCAATGACACATTGTGCATTCTTGGATCAAGTTACTCCTTCTCCGACCACTACCAATGACACATTGTGCATTCTTGGATCAAGTTACTACTTCTCGGACCACTACCAATGACACATTAAGAGTTATTGGATCAAGTTACTCCTTCTCCGACCACTACCAATGACACATTGTGCATTCTTGGATCAAGTTACTCCTTCTCCGACCACTACCAATGACACATTGTGCATTCTTGGATCAAGTTACTACTTCTCCGACCACTACCAATGACACATTAAGAGTTATTGGATCAAGTTACTCCTTCTCCAACCACAACCAATGACACATTGTGAGTTCTTGGATCAAGTTACTACTTGTCCAACCACTACCAATGACACATTAAGAGTTCTTGGATCAAGTTACTACTTCTCCGACCACTACCAATGACACATTAAGAGTTATTGGATCAAGTTACTCCTTCTCCGACCACAACCAATGACACATTGTGAGTTCTTGGATCAAGTTACTACTTGTCCAACCACTACCAATGACACATTGTGCATTCTTGGATCAAGTTACTACTTCTCCGTCCACTACCAATGACACATTGCAAGTTCTTGGATCAAGTTACTACTTCTTCAACCACTACCAATGACACATTGTTATTACTTCTCTGACCACTACCAATGACACATTGTTATTACTTCTTCAACCACTACCAATGACAATGACTATTGTGAGTTCTTGGATCAAGTTACTCCTTTTCCAACCATTACTAATGACACATTGTTATTACTTCTCCGACCACTACCAATGACATATTGTGAATTCTTGGATCAAGTTACTACTTCTCCGACCACTACCAATTACACATTGTGAATTCTTGGATCAAGTTACTACTTCTCCGTCCACTACCAATGACACATTGCAAGTTCTTGGATCAAGTTACTCCTTTTCCAACCACTACCAATGACACATTGTTATTACTTCTCCGACCACTACCAATGACATATTGTGATTTCTTGGATCAAGTTACTACTTCCTCAACCACTACCAATGACACATTATTATTACTTCTCCGACCACTACCAATGACACATTGTGAATTCTTGGATCAAGTTACCACTTCTCCGACCACTACCAATGACACATTGTGATTTCTTGGATCAAGTTACTACTTCCTCAACCACTACCAATGACACATTGTGAATTCTTGGATCAAGTTACCACTTCTCCGACCACTACCAATGACACATTGTGAGTTCTTGGATCAAGTTACTACTTCTCCGACCACAACCAATGACACATTTTGAGTTCTTGGATCAAGTTACTACTTGTCCAACCACTACCAATGACACATTGTGAGTTCTTGGATCAAGCTACTACTTCTCCGACCACAACCAATGACACATTGTGAGTTCTTGGATCAAGTTACTCCTTCTCCGACCACTACCAATGACACATTGTGTGCATAAATTGTATACTCTTTATATTCTTTTTCTATTTACAGATAAACTTAATCAGATAATGATTTAATACAACCATATTAATGTAGGATATATTTCATCTTATTTGAGGCAGTTAAAGTGCTATATCTTCTCAAGCACACTAAGAACATTGACTCTGACCTCTGTATTCTGAGAGACTGGTCCTGGTGACCCTGTGTTGCTATCATCACGTCGGCCTCATCCAACACAAACACCTGGATTTTCCTCAGATCCAACACCTTCATCTTAATAGACCAGTCCATCACAGTGCCAGGTGTGCCAATCAGGATGTGGTATTGAACCTTCTGGCCCCTTGGTACTACAACAATAGACATTGTGTTGCTCATGAAATAATAAAAACAGAGCCACTGCCTTGTGACTCACCTGCATATGTAATTAACAGCCTACAACACCAAAAAAGACACTGATATTAAATATTTTCTGCATAAAATGATAAGGACTGATTGCTAAGTATTCAATAAGTAACTTCATTTGAATTTTATGATAGAATATGTAACCGTATTTGTAATGAGTAAGGATGAGACATATGGTCAAACAACTTCTTTATTACAATTAGGATCAATGGTTTCGGTGTAGGTTCTAACACCGATATCAAGCAAGTGAGTGAGTATGGTTTTACGCCGCTTTTAGCAATATTCCAGCAATATCACGGCGGGGGACACCAGAAATGGGCGTCAAGCAAGTGAACTACAGAGTATGGTTGACAAGAATATATACAGGATAGGAGGCAGTGTTTATACAGTTGAGTAGGTTTAAGATCAGTTACACTGTTGTATTTGTAATGAGTTGTGTTTCTGCCTAAAGTTAGTAAGTGATTGCAACAACCGTGTCCATGACACTTTTGGAGGAACATACACACATGCAATGCAGAACTAACCAACAAGAAAGGAAATTTATTCAATACTGCGAGATGACATTATGTGCCAAGTTTGGAGAATAAATATGGTACGGTTTTCAAAATCTGCTCCGGAAACCAGGACTACAGCCATTTTCAGTCTAAGTCAAAGTCGTTGCCATGGAAACTCGAAAAATATTTCTTTTTAAAATCCCAAGCTATCAAAAGGCACCAGTTCACCACTAGACCTATCTATGTGCTAAGTTTGGTGAAGAAATATAGTATGGTTTACAAGATCTGCTCTGGAAACGAGGACTATCGCATTTTCAGTCTAAATCAAAGTCGTTGCAATGGAAACTCAAAAATATTTATTTTTTTAAATCACAAACTATCAAAAGGCACCAGTTCACCACTCGACCTATCTATGTGCCATGTTTGGTGAAGAAATATGGTACGGTTTTCAAGATCAGCTCCGGAAACGAAATGTGACGGATGGAAGGACAGAAGGATGGAAGGACAGAAAGACGGAGGGACGGTAAGTCGAATACACAAAACACAAACACTGCTTAGGCTAGTGCTTACAAATCAATAAAAATGGTGGATATACCATAACAACAAATCAATGCAACACCCTTCATGATTGGGTTAATACACTGTATATATAATCTGGACAATGAACGTTGTGATAAGATATATGCTTGACAAAGTCACTATAGCTCCTGCCAGCGTTTCCCTATGTTACAGAAAGTTTGATGCAAAGACACAGGCTGTTCAGAATTTCATTAACGATTTTTGAATCGATAATCCAGGGACTAATCATGTATATTTACTTTTGAATTATTAAATTATGAAACACCTAGTTTAGAGTTTCTATCAGTCAAAAGTCTGACTACTTATAAAAAACATCTGCCAAATTGAAATTTTATGTCTATGACCGGTGACGGGTGGTCATATGAAATTCTGTATACAGTATTCACACTGAAAAGTGTTTGCAAGTGAAACAAAAGCTGCCGCTTTACCACATGCCTTGCATGTCTTCTACAACATCAATCAGATGGAAGTACCTTGGCTCAAGCTAACACAAAGAGGAACCAAAAGGCATAATAATAAATAACAATTAATGGATATTTGTAAAGCGCTATAGTCTATCTGTTGAAGCATGCTCAAAGCACTAACATCATTATAACCCTGGTCCATGGACCAATCTCATTAAAATCAGATCTTAGTTCTCGCTACCCCTAAACACAGATCTGAGGACATCCCATTTGGGGTTACGTCAGAACGACCTTTCATCCGACCAATCAGAGCGTCGCTTACCACATCGTGAAAGTGACAGTCAGAATGTGATTTCTAATCATGCAACCTCGATAACTTTAACATGGGGTATTCCGAATGATAGTTACAGGTTTAACGACTGAATCCATACAATCAAGACCATCTATTATAGTAGCTATTCAAGAATGTTCTTTTGTTCAGGTTTCAATTTTTTTATCGAGAACCTGTCAAAATATGTTTCGAAGTGAAGTCGCCAATTTGAAATTAATGCCGTAAAACATGAGCTGCCTTCTGATTGGCTAATGTCGACTTGTTGTCAGTCATTCCATTGGTCGGTCAAAGTTTGAGCAAGGTTGGTCTGACGTAATGGGATGTCCTCAGATCTTTGTTAAGCAGTGGCGAGAACTAAGGTCTGATTTTAATGAGATTGGTCCATGGACCAGTGTGCACTCGACTTTCTTTCTAAACTCCCTTGGAAGTATACAACCCAAGCAGCATGTGAGGTCCAAGAAGTTGAACAGTTACATTACCATCTCATCCTACTGGGTACCCATTCACTGCTTGGTGAATAGAAGCATATTTCAAACAAAGTCCCTTGCTAAGGAGACATCACATGCACTTCATGACTGAAGCCCTATACACTCTCAAAAGTCCAGCTGCCGAACACGGTCACTAATCTGCGACCAACGTTGCTTAACTTTGCCTGATATGTGATCTGCGCACTGTGCACAGGGCCAAGTGCCACAACATAATGTAATGATATCACTTCTCTCTTGGGAAAACACCCGTCAAGTGCAAGACATCTCCTAAACATAAAGTTCCATGTAGAGTTACCGTAAGAAGAACCCTCCTAGCGATCTTTAACTGCTACTCAATAAAATCATAAGATTTAACACATAGGGAAAAGGACAAACATAATTTACGAAAGACCATATTTTGAGCTTGATCCTATAGGAAGGTCACTCGTGGCCTTTTCTGATCCAATCTGAAGTTGTTGTCCAGAAACAATTCTTCACTGTTCAATTGGCCATTTACTTCATATATATAAATTTTCTATCCTTTAAACTTGTTTTCATAGACCCAATATTGTAAAATGCATCAACATACAAGTATTAAAATGATAGCTGACATTTGGAGGCCTTGAACTGCCCCAGGAGCAGTTAATTTGAAGACCTATTTCCTGTCTTTCTGCACGACACAAACAAATCACTGAAATCCAAAGTGTCCAGCATACAAGACTCAAACCTCTTTGTCCTCTGACGGCATAGCCTATTTTACAATCTGTCATGTGTTTGGCCATCTGCTCTGTGACCTCCCCAATCTGCAGAGCTAGCTCGTACGTTGGTGCAAGACACAAACACTGGAACAATAAAACAAAGACAGTTTGTTAATGTTACCAAAGAATAAGACTTTTTCTGTGCAGGGCAAACAGATCATAGCATACCAGACATCAGTCACCATATCTTTTTGTGAATAATACACACTTCTATATAGATGCTGTAGCAGTGTAGAAGGAGCACAAATTCAATCAATTAGAACATTCATGATATTAGTCCATAGCCACAACAAATTGCACTTTCCTTCTCTTCGATCCCATAACCAGTAACAGAGAATCCAAAATATGCCTCAAACCTTTGGTGCACTTTCCACCTGGTCAATGACAAAAGTTTATTTCCTTCGAGCCTCATTTCCCTCTCACATGAAAGCTGCACACACTTCTGGCAGGGGACGAGTGAAACCTTAGAGCTGCTGTCAGGAAATGTCTACAAATATCATAAATATTTTAATTGTTTAAATGATTTCTGATCCCAATACAACATAGTGCAAAGCTTATCCCTCAGTCGGTGGCAGAATCAGTAGCTGCGATGCTGGACGGTGATGGACTACACTTAAAGCAACATCAGTGATAGGAACTACTGCACTTTCAGGGGGCGGAACTTACATGAAGGATCTGACAGGTCAATATGAAGTCACGACAACACACAGACCTCATTGGCACATGGGCTGTCTGTGCACAAGAACACAAGTTAATTGCAAGCAGTGTGATTCATGCAATGTAACACACAGACTTATTCATGGCTTCATAATAATTCCTTGGCCAAATCACAATAATGACGATTATAAAGTAAACAATAAGCCAATTTAGCATGTGTTCAAAATCTTTCATATTGTACCAAACGAAGTCCAGACATTAAAGTATGAAATCAAAACAAATTGTGAGCTAATTTTAACAGATACAATATGTCTGCTGTTGACATTGGCACACACAGGAGTGAGTGAGTGAGTGAGTGAGTGAGTGAGTGAGTGAGTGAGTGGGTGGGTGGGTGGGTGGGTGAGTGAGTGAGTGAGTGAGTTGGGTTTAAGGCTGCTTTTAACAGTATTCCAGTTATATCATGGTGGAGTTGGGTTTAAGGCTGCTTTTAACAGTATTCCAGTTATATCATGGTGGGTCAGCTTAATGTAGGAGGAAAGCCTGAAGTGATGCAGGTCTCAGACATTTACCACTTCAGTGAAACCCACGAACACGGGTATGGTGCTGAAAAACCTAGAAACATAATCTGGGCGAACCGGGATTCAAACTCACAATCATAGGTTTCTGGCGTGCCCAAGGGATGCAACTCAGCGAATTGCGGTGCCTTAGATGACTGGGCCACCCGTACCCACGGGCACACACAGGAAAAAAGTAAAGTTTTCCACCTTTGTGCAGGCGCAGTGGCGCAGTGGAGCAGTTCCAGTACTGTTTGGCAGTGAAGAGGAGTCTATTGAAAATTCTGAAGATTTTATAGCATGAGCACAACCAAAATGCAGGACTGTGGTTATGATGTTATAGAGGTAAGGTATTCCGAGGAATTATGTGCTTGAAAATTTGATATTTTGGGGATATCTTCAATATGAACAGATGTGTCCCTTTTAACAGAATGCTCAGACTGGAGATATCAAGTGATGGTAATGGGCAGATTATAAAAAAGGAGAGACAAGGTGTAACATGACAATCAACAAAACATCTTTGCGGTGTATTGAAAGGGTCCAAACTTCCAAGAAAGATGAGAGGCTTTTGCAGTCAATGAAGAAGTTCAGATGACTTGATCAATAATGGGTCATGCACCCACGATTAGTCAAACATCTGTTTGTACTGTCTGGCCTAGTCCGAATCAATCTCCATATGACAATTTGAGGGAGTATAGTCCACTCCTCTTGCAGCACCTGGCCCAGTTCAGTTAACGCAGAGCAGTCCCAGACTAATTCTGCAATTCCATGATTATGGTAAGATTAACAAAAAATGTAACTCAGCGCAGAATTGCAGAAAAATCATGAAATTTGCCTGTTTTTATCAATCATCACACTATTCTCATTATTTTCAAGATCGTCTATCGAAAATGATGCCCAAATATTTTACATATGATTCAAACATGCAAAGTATGATTCATGCAAAAATTGCAAATAATTCTCACTAATAACATCCTTCCGGTATTATTTTGCCCAAACATGCAACATGATTCAAACATACAAAACATGATTCCTGCAAAAATACCAAATAATTCTCACTATAAAATGTTCTTTTGGTATTATGACTACATAAACCATGTTTATGAAGTATATATCGGTGACGCTATGCATATTATACAATGACAACTGTTTATATTGACAGTGTGGGGAATTATTTTGTTTCGGATTTGGATTCGAGTTTTTGTAATTCTTTTGTAATTTTGGTAACTTTAGGTGTGAAATTTTGGTAATTTTACCACAGAATATTGATAATGTTACTGCAGAATTTGTCTAGGACTGGTAGTGGGTGGCCTTTGGTGTCAGTGTATACTTCTCCCAATCATGTCCTAGATGTGCTGTATGGGGGAAGGTCAGGGCTCTTGGATGGCCTTTGCATTCTGGTGATGTTCTGCTGATGGAGGTTGTCAGCTTAGATATGTACACGGTGGACTCAAGGGGTATTGGTTGAAAGACAAAAACCTGGCATGCAAACGGCACAACTATTGGTGTCAGTATGTCGTCTCAGAAGTACTGTCCAGTAACCCTTCCATGGACAATATACAGTGGCATTCTGGCAGTCATAGTGGTTCTGCCCAATATTGTTAGACCCACCAACAAATTTGTCATATTCCCTTACTTTGATGTTCGCATCATGTTTGCTAGGATGCCTCCAGACATGTCCACACCTATCCAGCGAGTTCAGAGTGAACCTGGACACATCTGAAAACATACCAAGAGACTATCGGTGATTCCCCCAGATTCTAACAACCATTGCATGGTGTCTGGCTGGAATGTGTTGAATGGTTAATGGTGGTACAACAATGGTTGCCAAGCATGCAGACAATTTCTAATCCCTGTGCATGGCTGATCTCTAACATCTTGTCTGCAGAAAGCTGTTCCAAAGTCTGCAAATCACAGTCTGGGACACATTGAGCATATTCGCTATCTCTTGCTGAGTTCTACCAGCATGAAACATTCTTGTTGATGTAGTGTGTCACTGTGGAGTCGTCTCTGGAGACCAGAACCTTGGTGTTTCCTACATTGTATTGCCAGAAACTCCATGTGTTTGATATGCAGTCTCCTGCTCCTCTGACCACATCCCTGAGACCCCCTCCTTGTTGAGATGCATCTTAAAACAGGTGGTGGGCAGGAATGAGGACTCAGAGACTTTGCCAAAGGCTTCCAACTGGAGCATCCACCACAACAGTTATATCTTGAGACTAGCTTCAAAAGTAGGCTGATTTAGGCTTCTTGCAGAAAAAACTGAAAACGTCTGAGTTGATTAATTGATCTCTTGATTAATGTCTTGTGTAACCAGAAAGAGATCCCTGCTCCTGTCGAATTAGCCTATCAACTGGAGTGTCTGTCCAGTCTGACTTCCCCAAGTTGACACATCATCTCATCAGAGGGACAGAGGCTGTAGAAGTCACGCTGCTGCTGTAAAATCTGGGGACCTTATTCGCAGTCATCATGAATAAATGTAGCTCACTCCCACATAGATCACCATGATAGGCTGTGTTTTGCGTAAATAATCTCACCCTTGAAACAGAAACCAGAGGTATATGGGAATGAGCTGATCAGCATCTTGCTGAATAGTGAGGTTCAACAAAAAATACAAACTGTAAAATAACAAACACATACTGATGATGACTGAAAGCAATTTGGTCACAACTATCTGGCGACCAAACGTTAAAAAAACCCACAACAATGTGCCAAACAAGTAAACCATTTGAGGCATTATTGTGTGAAGTAACATTCCACAAAATGATCACCCACGACATTAGTTACCAGGAAAAGTGCACAAAAACAACGATAACAACAGATTTTGAGTCCAATACTAAAGATATTGAGAGCAGCTCACAACTATGTTTGCCATGACAAGAAGGTAAGCGTGGTTGGTGACCCCTTGTGAGTACCCACTAGTGAGGAGGCACATCTTGGGTTCTATGTTATGGGATTGAAGATAATAAGTGTATATCAGGATAAGAAATAATTACATATTATCATACAAAAACGATATCAGTTGGGGTCATATGCGGATAGAGATGCAAATACCAAAGGTCGAGTAGGGACTACTTCCAGTGTTTATAAACAAACATGGCGTCGCCCTTGTCATTCGGCAATCGAGTCAGATTTAACCATCTGGAAACTGGATAAACAACAGGGATAATTGCAACATCAAAAGAACAGTTTAATATACTGAAAATCAGTGTCTAACTGTGATACAGCTAAGGCATTTTATAAGTTTTGGCAACTTTGGAGATATAAATTCCTAGCCAAGCGGGATCAGTAGCCATATCTGTGCTTGTAAACCTATGTGGCTTGAAACATTTTCCACAAATTAAAATAGTTGGATTTGGCCAAAATATGTTTGAATTGTTACCTTGTTTTGTTTTGTCGCTGTGTGTACATCTGACTGCATTTCTTAACATTAGACAGGACAGGCCGACTGTCAACAACGTCTGAACGTGGCCGTGACGTCTCATAGACTAGGGTTAGAGTAGCTTCCCTTTGACAAAGGGCAGTTACTCTTGCGGACAGATTGATGGATTGCCACGAAAGGCAAGTAAAAACAATTGTTGCTTTGCATATATGTTGCTTTCGCCACTGTGTAAGAAACAGATTTCAGTTGGAACTATATTGGCTACTGTCACTGTCCAACTGACACATCACTTACCCTGTGACGTAATAAACATTAATGCACACATTCCAGGAAAACACGCAATGTTTCGGTAATGTTTAAGAGAGAGGGAAAGTGATTTTCAAGCACAGAATCAAAGAATGACATTAGGTGATAAAGAGGTTATCACGCTTGTGTGTTTGGGGATGGTAAATATCCTATATTAGGAATAAACACAATGTATTCACAAAGCTTGCTAAATACAATGTTTATTCCTAATGCAGGATATTTACCATCCCCAAACACACAAGCGTGATTTAACCTCTATATATTTGGCACAAACATAAACATCACAGGCAGTAGTCTCACCTGCACATTATCAATGGATGTGTCACATCTGCTCAGCATGGTGAGAACGAAGGCTGCAGTTTTCCCTGTACCACTCTGACTCTGGGCAATCATGTTCACAGGCCTGAAAACATCAGTACTATTATCTATGCCAATACAGGATATTCATTATATATGAACACAATTCTAAATACACAAAAATATGAACTGATCTTCAGATTTTGTGAGTTAGCAATATTCTAGCTATCAGAGTGCCCTGTATATTATCAAGTCTTGATGAGACAAAACAGTGATAGAATAGTATGATCTATGTCAGACACAACTGAGGTAAGATGACACACAATCAGGCAAATGATACAATCTGCTTGACAAGTGGGAAGTACATGGGGACTGCTCTGGCCACCCAGTCCCTGATGCAGTCTCCATGACAAGTTGGAAGTACATGGGACCTGCTCTGGCCACCCAGTCCCTGATGCAGTCACCATGACAAGTGGGAAGTATGTGGGACCTGCTCTGGCCAAGTACTCCCTCATGTGGACACCATGACAAGTGGGAAGTACATGGGACCTGCTCTGGCCACCCAGTCTCTGATGTAGTCACCATGACAAGTTGGGGGTAGTTGGGACCTGCTCTGGCCACCCAGTCCCTGATGTAGTCCCCATGACAAGTGGGAAGTATGTGGGACCTGCTCTGGCCACCCAGTCCCAGATGCAGTCTCCCTGACAAGTTGGGGGTAGTAGGGACCTGCTCTGGCCACCCAGTCCCTGATGTAGTCCCCATGACAAGTGGGAAGTACATAGGACCTGCTCTGGCCACCCAGTCTCTGATGTAGTCCCCATGACAAGTGGGAAGTACATAGGACCTGCTCTGGCCACCCAGTCTCTGATGTAGTCACCATGACAAGTGGGAAGTACATAGGACCTGCTCTGGCCACCCAGTCTCTGATGTAGTCACCATGACAAGTGGGAAGTACATAGGACCTGCTCTGGCCACCCAGTCTCTGATGTAGTCACCATGACAAGTGGGAAGTACATAGGACCTGCTCTGGCCACCCAGTCTCTGATGTAGTCACCATGACAAGTTGGGGGTAGTTGGGACCTGCTCTGGCCACCCAGTCCCTCATATAGACACCATGAAAAGTGGGAAGTACATGGGACCTGCTCTGGCCACCCAGTCTCTGATATAGTCACCATGACAAGTGGGAAGTACATGGGACCTGCTCTGGCCACCCAGTCCCTGATGCAGTCACCATGACAAGTGGGAAGTATGTGGGACCTCCTCTGGCCACCCACTCCCTCATGTAGTCCCCATGACAAGTGGGAAGTACATGGGACCTGCTCTGGCCACCCAGTCTCTGATGTAGTCACCATGACAAGCTGGGGTTAGTTTGGATCTGCTCTGGCAAACCCAGTCTCTGGTGTAGTCCCCATGACAAGTGGGAAGTACATGGGACCTCCTCTGGCCACCCATTCCCTCATGTAGACACCATGACAAGCTGGGGGTAGTTTGGATCTGCTCTGGCCACCCAGTCTCTGATGTAGTCACCATGACAAGTGGGAAGTACATGGGACCTGCTCTGGCCACCCAGTCTCTGATGTAGTCACCATGACAAGTTGGGGGTAGTTGGGACCTGCTCTGGCCACCCAGTCCCTGATGCAGTCCTCATGACAAGTGGGAAGTACATGGGACCTGCTCTGGCCACCCACTACCTCATGTAGACACCATGACAAGTTGGGGGTAGTTGGGATCTGCTCTGGCCACCCAGTCTCTGATGTAGTTCCCATGACAAGTTGGGGGTAGTAGGGACCTCCTCTGGCCACCCAGTCCCAGATGCAGTCTCCCTGACAAGTTTGGGGTAGTAGGGACCTGCTCTGGCCACCCAGTCCCTGATGAAGTCACCATGACAAGTGGGAAGTACATGGGACCTGCTCTGGCCACCCAGTCCCTGATGTAGTCCCCATGACAAGTGGGAAGTACATAGGACCTGCTCTGGCCACCCACACCCTGATGTAGACACCATGACAAGCCGGGGTTAGTTGGGATCTGCTCTGGCCACCCAGTCCCTGATGTAGTCCCCATGACAAGCCGGGGGTAGTTGGGACCTGCTCTGGCCACCCAGTCTCTGATGTAGTCACCATGACAAGCCGGGGGTAGTTGGGACCTGCTCTGGCCACCCAGTCCCTGATGTAGTCCCCATGACAAGCCGGGGGTAGTTGGGACCTGCTCTGGCCACCCAGTCCCTGATGCAGTCACCATGACAAGTGGGAATTATGTGGGACCTCCTCTGGCCACCCAGTCCCTCATGTAGTCCCCATGACAAGTGGGAAGTACATGGGACCTGCTCTGGCCACCCAGTCCCTGATGCAGTCTCCATGACAAGTTGGAAGTACGTGGGACCTGCTCTTACCACCCAGTCCCTGATGTAGTCCCCATGACAAGTGGGAAGTACATGGGACCTGCTCTGGCCACCCAGTCTCTGATGTAGTCACCATGACAAGCCAGGGGTAGTTGAGATCTGCTCTGGCCACCCAGTCCCTGATGTAGTCACCATGACAAGTGGGAAGTATGTGGGACCTCCTCTGGCCACCCAGTCCCTGATATAGTCCCCATGACAAGTGGGAAGTACATGGGACCTCCTCTGGCCACCCAGTCTCTGATGTAGTCACCATGACAAGCCGGGGGTAGTTGGGACCTGCTCTGGCCACCCAGTCTCTGATGTAGTCACCATGACAAGTGGGAAGTACATGGGACCTCCTCTGGCCACCCACTCCCTCATGTACACACCATGACAAGCCGGGGGTAGTTGGGACCTGCTCTGGCAAACCCGGTCTCTGATGTAGTCCCCATGACAAGTGGGAAGTACATGGGACCTCCTCTGGCCACCCAGTCCCTGATGTAGTCCCCATGACAAGTGGGAAGTACATGGGACCTGCTCTGACCACCCACTCCCTCATGTAGACACCATGACAAGCTGGGGGTAGTTTGGATCTGCTCTGGCAAACCCAGTCTCTGATGTAGTCCCCATGACAAGTGGGAAGTACGTAGGGCCTGCTCTGGCCACCCAGTCTCTGATGTAGTCATCATGACAAGTGGGAAGTACATGGGACCTGCTCTGGCCACCCAGTCTCTGATGTAGTCACCATGACAAGTGGGAAGTACATGGGACCTGCTCTGGCCACCCAGTCTCTGATGTAGTCACCATGACAAGCTGGGAGTAGTTTGGATCTGCTCTGGCCACCCAGTCTCTGATGTAGTCCCCATGACAAGTTGGAAGTACATGGGACCTGCTCTGGCCACCCAGTCTCTCATGTAGTCACCATGACAAGTTGGGGGTAGTTGGGACCTGCTCTGGCCACCCAGTCCCTGATGCAGTCCTCATGACAAGTGGGAAGTATATGGGACCTGCTCTGGCCACCCACTCCCTCATGTAGACACCATGACAAGCTGGGGGTAGTTGGGATCTGCTCTGGCCACCCAGTCCCTGATGCAGTCCTCATGACAAGTGGGAAGTATATGGGACCTGCTCTGGCCACCCAGTCCCTCATGTAGTCACCATGACAAGTGGGAAATTCATGGGACCTGCTCTGGCCACCCAGTCCCTGATGTAGTCACCATGACAAGTGGTAAGTACATGGGACCTGCTCTGGCCACCCACTCCCTCATGTAGACACCATGACAAGCTGGGGGTAGTTTGGATCTGCTCTGGGAAACCCGGTCTCTGATGTAATCCCCATGACAAGTGGGAAGTACATGTGACCTGCTCTGGCCACCCAGTCCCTGATGTAGTCACCTTGACAAGTGGGAAGTACGTAGGGCCTGCTCTGGCCACCCAGTCTCTGATGTAGTCACCATGACAAGTTGGGGGTAGTTGGGACCTGCTCTGGCCACCCAGTCCCTCATGTAGACACCATGACAAGCTGGGGATAGTTGGGATCTGCTCTGGCCACCCAGTCCCTGATGCAGTCCTCATGACAAGTGGGAAGTATATGGGACCTGCTCTGGCCACCCACTCCCTCATGTAGACACCATGACAAGCTGGGGATAGTTGGGATCTGCTCTGGCCATCCAGTCCCTGATGCAGTCCTCATGACAAGTGGGAAGTATATGGGACCTGCTCTGGCCACCCACTCCCTCATGTAGACACCATGACAAGCTGGGGGTAGTTGGGATCTGCTCTGGCCACCCAGTCCCTGATGTAGTCCCCATGGGAAGCCGGGGATAGTTGGGACCTGCTCTGGCCACCCAGTCTCTGATGTAGTCCCCATGACAAGCCGGGGGTAGTTGGGACCTGCTCTGGCCACCCAGTCTCTGATGAAGTCACCATGACAAGCCGGGGGTAGTTGGGACCTGCTCTGGCCACCCAGTCCCTCATGTAGTCACCATGACAAGTGGGAAATTCATGGGACCTGCTCTGGCCACCCAGTCCCTGATGTAGACACCATGACAAGTGGTAAGTACATGGGACCTGCTCTGGCCACCCACTCCCTCATGTAGACACCATGACAAGCTGGGGGTAGTTTGGATCTGCTCTGGGAAACCCGGTCTCTGATGTAATCCCCATGACAAGTGGGAAGTACATGTGACCTGCTCTGGCCACCCAGTCCCTGATGTAGTCACCTTGACAAGTGGGAAGTACGTAGGGCCTGCTCTGGCCACCCAGTCTCTGATGTAGTCACCATGACAAGTGGGAAGTACATGGGACCTGCTCTGGCCACCCAGTCTCTGATGTAGTCACCATGACAAGTTGGGGGTAGTTGGGACCTGCTCTGGCCACCCAGTCCCTCATGTAGACACCATGACAAGCTGGGGATAGTTTGGATCTGCTCTGGCCACCCAGTCTCTGATGTAGTCCCCATTACAAGTGGGAAGTACATGGGACCTCCTCTGGCCACCCACTCCCTCATGTAGACACCATGACAAGCTGGGGATAGTTTGGATCTGCTCTGGCCACCCAGTCTCTGATGTAGTCACCATGACAAGTGGGAAGTACATGGGACCTGCTCTGGCCACCCAGTCTCTGATGTAGTCACCATGACAAGTTGGGGGTAGTTGGGACCTGCTCTGGCCACCCAGTCCCTGATGCAGTCACCATGACAAGTGGGAAGTACATGGGACCTGCTCTGGCCACCCACTCCCTCATATAGACACCATGACAAGCTGGGGGTAGTTGGGATCTGCTCTGGCCACCCAGGTTATGATGTAGTCCCCATGACAAGTTGGGGGTAGTAGGGACCTGCTCTGGCCACCCATTCCCTGATATAGTCACCATGACAAGTGGGAACTACGTGGGACCTCCTCTGGCCACCCACTCCCTCATGTAGACACCATGACAAGCTGGGGGTAGTTTGGATCTGCTCTGGCCACCCAGTCTCTGATGTAGTCCCCATGACAAGTTGGGGGTAGTAGGGACCTGCTCTGGCCACCCAGTCCCTGATGTAGTCACCATGACAAGTGGGAAGTATGTGGGATCTGCTCTGGCCACCCAGTCTCTGATGTAGTCCCCATGACAAGTTGGGGGTAGTAGGGACCTGCTCTGGCCACCCAGTCCCTGATGTAGTCACCATGACAAATGGGAAGTACATGGGACCTGCTCTGGCCACCCAGTCTCTGCTGTAGTCACCATGACAAGCCGGGGGTAGTTGGGACCTGCTCTGGCCACCCACTCCCTCATGTAGACACCATGACAAGCTGGGGGTAGTTTGGATCTGCTCTGGGAAACCCGGTCTCTGATGTAATCCCCATGACAAGTGGGAAGTACATGTGACCTGCTCTGGCCACCCAGTCCCTGATGTAGTCACCTTGACAAGTGGGAAGTACGTAGGGCCTGCTCTGGCCACCCAGTCTCTGATGTAGTCACCATGACAAGTGGGAAGTACATGGGACCTGCTCTGGCCACCCAGTCTCTGATGTAGTCCCCATGACAAGTTGGGGGTAGTTGGGACCTGCTCTGGCCACCCAGTCCCTCATGTAGACACCATGACAAGCTGGGGATAGTTTGGATCTGCTCTGGCCACCCAGTCTCTGATGTAGTCCCCATTACAAGTGGGAAGTACATGGGACTTCCTCTGGCCACCCACTCCCTCATGTAGACACCATGACAAGCTGGGGATAGTTTGGATCTGCTCTGGCCACCCAGTCTCTGATGTAGTCACCATGACAAGTGGGAAGTACATGGGACCTGCTCTGGCCACCCAGTCTCTGATGTAGTCACCATGACAAGTTGGGGGTAGTTGGGACCTGCTCTGGCCACCCAGTCCCTGATGCAGTCCCCATGACAAGTGGGAAGTACATGGGACCTGCTCTGGCCACCCACTCCCTCATATAGACACCATGACAAGCTGGGGGTAGTTGGGATCTGCTCTGGCCACCCAGGTTATGATGTAGTCCCCATGACAAGTTGGGGGTAGTAGGGACCTGCTCTGGCCACCCATTCCCTGATATAGTCACCAAGACAAGTGGGAACTACGTGGGACCTCCTCTGGCCACCCAGTCCCTGATGTAGTCCCCATGACAAGTGGGAAGTACATGGGACCTGCTCTGGCCACCCAGTCTCTGATGTAGTCACCATGACAAGCCGGGGATAGTTGGGACCTGCTCTGGCCACCCAGTCCCTGATGTAGTCCCCATGACAAGTGGGAAGTACGCTGGGCCTGCTCTGGCCACCCAGTCTCTGATGTAGTCCCCATGACAAGTGGGAAGTACATGGGACCTGCTCTGGCCACCCAGTCTCTGATGTAGTCACCATGACAAGCCGGGGGTAGTTGGGACCTGCTCTGGCCACCCAGTCCCTGATGTAGTCCCCATGACAAGTGGGAAGTACGTGGGGCCTGCTCTGGCCACCCAGTCTCTGATGTAGTCCCCATGACAAGTGGGAAGTACATGGGACCTGCTCTGGCCACCCAGTCCCTGATGTAGTCACCATGACAAGTGGGAAGTACATGGGACCCCCTCTGGCCACCCACTCCCTCATGTAGACACCATGACAAGCTGGGGGTAGTTTGGATCTGCTCTGGCAAACCCGGTCTCTGATGTAGTCCCCATGACAAGTGGGAAGTACATGGGACCTGCTCTGGCCACCCAGTCCCTGATGTAGTCACCATGACAAGTGGGAAGTACATGGGACCCCCTCTGGCCACCCACTCCCTCATGTAGACACCATGACAAGCTGGGGGTAGTTTGGATCTGCTCTGGCCACCCAGTCTCTGATGTAGTCCCCATGACAAGTTGGGGGTAGTAGGGACCTGCTCTGGCCACCCAGTCCCTGATGTAGTCACCATGACAAGTGGGAAGTATGTGGGATCTGCTCTGGCCACCCAGTCTCTGATGTAGTCCCCATGACGAGTAGGGGGTAGTAGGGACCTGCTCTGGCCACCCAGTCCCTGATGTAGTCACCATGACAAATGGGAAGTACATGGGACCTGCTCTGGCCACCCACTCCCTCATGTAGACACCATGACAAGCTGGGGGTAGTTTGGATCTGCTCTGGCAAACCCGGTCTCTGATGTAGTCCCCATGACAAGTGGGAAGTACATGGGACCTGCTCTGGCCACCCAGTCCCTGATGTAGTCACCATGACAAGTGGGAAGTACGTAGGGCCTGCTCTGGCCACCCAGTCTCTGATGTAGTCACCATGACAAGTGGGAAGTACATGGGACCTCCTCTGGCCACCAACTCCCTCATGTAGACACCATGACAAGCTGGGGGTAGTTGGGATCTGCTCTGGCCACCCAGTCTCTGATGTAGTCCCCATGACAAGTTGGGGATAGTAGGGACCTGCTCTGGCCACCCAGTCCCTGATGTAGTCACCATGACATGTGGGAAGTATGTGGGACCTCCTCTGGCCACCCAGTCCCTGATGTAGTCCCCATGACAAGTGGGAAGTACATGGGACCTGCTCTGGCCACCCAGTCTCTGATGTAGTCACCATGACAAGCCGGTGGTAGTTGGGACCTGCTCTGGCCACCCAGTCCCTGATGTAGTCACCATGACAAGTGGGAAGTACATGGGGCCTGCTCTGGCCACCCAGTCTCTGATGTAGTCACCATGACAAGTGGGAAGTACATGGGACTTCCTCTGGCCACCCACTCCCTCATGTAGACACCATGACAAGCTGGGGGTAGTTTGGATCTGCTCTGGCCACCCAGTCTCTGATGTAGTCCCCATGACAAGTGGGAAGTATGTGGGATCTGCTCTGGCCACCCAGTCTCTGATGTAGTCCCCATGACGAGTAGGGGGTAGTAGGGACCTGCTCTGGCCACCCAGTCCCTGATGTAGTCACCATGACAAATGGGAAGTACATGGGACCTGCTCTGGCCACCCACTCCCTCATGTAGACACCATGACAAGCTGGGGGTAGTTTGGATCTGCTCTGGCAAACCCGGTCTCTGATGTAGTCCCCATGACAAGTGGGAAGTACATGGGACCTGCTCTGGCCACCCAGTCCCTGATGTAGTCACCATGACAAGTGGGAAGTACGTAGGGCCTGCTCTGGCCACCCAGTCTCTGATGTAGTCACCATGACAAGTGGGAAGTACATGGGACCTGCTCTGGCCACCCAGTCTCTGATGTAGTCCCCATGACAAGTGGGAAGTACATGGGACCTCCTCTGGCCACCCACACCCTCATGTAGACACCATGACAAGCTGGGGGTAGTTTGGATCTGCTCTGGCCACCCAGTCTCTGATGTAGTCACCATGACAAGTGGGAAGTACATGGGACCTCCTCTGGCCACCAACTCCCTCATGTAGACACCATGACAAGCTGGGGGTAGTTGGGATCTGCTCTGGCCACCCAGTCTCTGATGTAGTCCCCATGACAAGTTGGGGATAGTAGGGACCTGCTCTGGCCACCCAGTCCCTGATGTAGTCACCATGACATGTGGGAAGTATGTGGGACCTCCTCTGGCCACCCAGTCCCTGATGTAGTCCCCATGACAAGTGGGAAGTACATGGGACCTGCTCTGGCCACCCAGTCTCTGATGTAGTCACCATGACAAGCCGGTGGTAGTTGGGACCTGCTCTGGCCACCCAGTCCCTGATGTAGTCACCATGACAAGTGGGAAGTACATGGGGCCTGCTCTGGCCACCCAGTCTCTGATGTAGTCACCATGACAAGTGGGAAGTACATGGGACTTCCTCTGGCCACCCACTCCCTCATGTAGACACCATGACAAGCTGGGGGTAGTTTGGATCTGCTCTGGCCACCCAGTCTCTGATGTAGTCCCCATGAAAAGTGGGAAGTACATGGGACCTGCTCTGGCCACCCACTCCCTCATGTAGACACCATGACAAGCTGGGGGTAGTTGGGATCTGCTCTGGCCACCCAGTCTCTGATGTAGTCACCTTGGCAAGTGGGAAGTGCATGGGACCTGCTCTGGCCACCCAGTCTCTGATGTAGTCCCCATGACAAGTGGGAAGTACATGGGACCTGCTCTGGCCACCCACTCCCTCATGTAGACACCATGACAAGCTGGGGGTAGTTTGGATCTGCTCTGGCCACCCAGTCCCTGATGTAGTCCCCATGACAAGTGGGAAGTACATGGGACCTCCTCTGGCCACCCACTCCCTCATGTAGACACCATGACAAGCTGGGGGTAGTTTGGATCTGCTCTGGCCACCCAGTCTCTGATGTAGTCACCATGATAAGTGGGAAGTACATGGGACCTCCTCTGGCCACCCAGTCTCTGATGTAGTCACCATGACAAGTTGGGGGTAGTTGGGACCTGCTCTGGCCACCCAGTCCCTGATGCAGTCTCATGACAAGTGGGAAGTACATGGGACCTGCTCTGCCCACCCACTCCCTCATGTAGACACCATGGCAAGCTGGGGGTAGTTGGGATCTGCTCTGGCCACCCAGTCCCTGATGTAGTCCCCATGACAAGTTGGGGGTAGTAGGGACCTGCTCTGGCCACCCAGTCCCTGATGTAGTCACCATGACAAGTGGGAAGTATGTGGGATCTGCTCTGGCCACCCAGTCTCTGATGTAGTCCCCATGTCAAGTTGGGGGTAGTAGGGACCTGCTCTGGCCACCCAGTCCCTGATGTAGTCACCATGACAAGTGGGAAGTACATGGGACCTGCTCTGGCCACCCAGTCTCTGATGTAGTCACCATGGCAAGCCGGGGGTAGTTGGGACCTGCTCTGGCCACCCACTCCCTCATGTAGACACCATGACAAGCTGGGGGTAGTTTGGATCTGCTCTGGCAAACCCGGTCTCTGATGTAGTCCCCATGACAAGTGGGAAGTACATGGGACCTGCTCTGGCCACCCAGTCCCTGATGTAGTCACCATGACAAGTGGGAAGTACGTAGGGCCTGCTCTGGCCACCCAGTCTCTGATGTAGTCACCATGACAAGTGGGAAGTACATGGGACCTGCTCTGGCCACCCAGTCTCTGATGTAGTCCCCATGACAAGTGGGAAGTACATGGGACCTCCTCTGGCCACCCACACCCTCATGTAGACACCATGACAAGCTGGGGGTAGTTTGGATCTGCTCTGGCCACCCAGTCTCTGATGTAGTCACCATGATAAGTGGGAAGTACATGGGACCTGCTCTGGCCACCCACTCCCTCATGTAGTCACCATGACAAGTTGGGGATAGTTGGGATCTGCTCTGGCCACCCAGTCCCTGATGCAGTCACCATGACAAGTTGGGGATAGTTGGGATCTGCTCTGGCCACCCAGTCCCTGATGCAGTCCTCATGACAAGTGGGAAGTATATGGGACCTGCTCTGGCCACCCACTCCCTCATGTAGACACCATGACAAGCTGGGGGTAGTTTGGATCTGCTCTGGCCACCCAGTCCCTGATGTAGTCCCCATGACAAGTGAGAAGTACATGGGACCTGCTCTGGCCACCCAGTCCCTGATGTAGTCCCCATGACAAGTGGGAAGTACATAGGACCTGCTCTGGCCACCCACTCCCTCATGTAGACACCATGACAAGCTGGGGGTAGTTGGGACCTGCTCTGGCCACCCAGTCTCTGATGTAGTCCCCATGACAAGTTGGGGGTAGTAGGGACCTGCTCTGGCCACCCAGTCCCTGATGTAGTCCCCATGACAAGCTGGGGGTGCTTGGGATCTGACCACTGAATAACCACAGCGAGTGACTTGTGCTACAAAATCTCTACATCCAGTTCTCTAAACGTTACAGACTGATCTTAAAACAGATGGACACATTGAGTTCTTACACACAGATCTTGCCACACATGGCTTATGCTAAAAATCCTCAAATGAAAAACAATTTGTTTCCAATCACTGGTATTCAATTAAAGTATGCAAACAGAAAATATTGAGAAAAATCACTCTTCGAAAATCTTGAAAGAAATCAATGTCATATAAATAATGTATCGCAAAAGCATATGAATGATTTAAACAGATGCACATTGCCTTCTACTTCATGGAAAGACATAAATGTGGCTTTAGCTAGTTAAGTTAGAGACCCTCTGTTTTATTCTTCAAATCTCATAAAAAGCCTATAAATCCTTTCCATGCCGTCATCATCAAAAGATATACGGTACATCTAACTGCCTTGGAATAAATATCAAAATATTGGTCAAAAAGAGAAACCCACACCATGCCATCCTTTACATCAGTTCTACCCTATATGACAGTACATCTTTACAATGAATCAAAAACACTTTGCCACTGAACATGATGAACAACAGAACAACAGTTTAGATGTCTACTAATAATGCAAGCTTAAGACATTTGACTTATTCTAAACTCAGCCTTACGGATCTGCTAATAATGTTGGTAGAGCTGTTTCTTGGATTTTGGAGGGAGCATTGAAACCCATGTCGTAAACACCCTTCAGCAATTCTGGTTTCCTGCAAGAAGATGAACAATCGTTGTAAAAATCAAACATATCTGATGTTCACTTGCAGTCATAAGAGAACAATGTAGCACAGTAATTAAAATTCAGACCAATGTACCATGAGTACAGAACAAAGAGAGATACAACATTCCTCTATTGTTTGGTCTACAGCTCAGGCCTGGGGTTGGATCATTCTCATCTGCTCTTTCTTTGCACTGGCCATCAGATAGCGATGTACTAGAAGCTGAAGCAACTTGCAGTGTTGGCAAGTACTTGAGAAAAAAGTGCCACAGCACTGCAGCTCACCTGGATATGCAGTCAACAGTTGGAAATGTCAACACAGACAGCCACATAGCAAAAGTTGATGAGAATGTTGATATTCAAATATTTTCTGACTAAATACTCAGGAAAAACTAACAATAAAATCTCCCTCAATTTAACAATTTCAGAGCAGGGTTCACACAGACATTTGGAGAGAAACATTGAACCTGTTGAAGAGCATGGGCAAAACATGGTCAAAAGTGAAATATTTTACAAAAAGAACTTGTGTTGAATATCTCTACAAACAAAACAAATACCAAATTTCTTAAATTTTGTACAAAATAGATATAGAGGTAGTATGGTATGGTTAAATGGGTATATTAAGCTTGGGGGGTTGTTGTTAGATACTGTCAGGTAACACCATAGGAACAGGTTAGAGTCAGGGAGGCTAACTGGGTATGGCTGATAGCTGCGGAGTTACAATAGGGAGGTCAGGGGTAGCTTGGGTAATTGAGGTCATATTAAACAGCTGGGCAGGGTTGTAAGTTGCACAGTCAGCCAGAATCAGCCTATTGTTATACAAGGTTCCAGAAATGGACTGACAGTGAGGAAGCTTCTCACTCAGGTTGGGTAAGTCTTTGCATTTATTTGTTTCATGTCATCTTTCCGAGGCAAGAGAGTTAACTGACTATAAAAGTCCAGTTTCCACCCTTGCCGAACTAGGCTGGAATTCCTGGGCACGATCGTAGCGCCACCAGTGGTTATTATGAGTTATGTCCCTTCTAAGCCTCTCCTATGGACCAATCCCATTCCATCACTTGCATTTGTTTCAAACAAAATGGCGGCGCCTGGTCAAGACAATCTGATTGATAATAAAGATCTATATTTTGATAAAACGGTTCTTACATCGCAAAGTACATCAAATCACGCGGGCACCTTGATTAAAAACATGAAAAGGTTTGGAAAATATTTGCTTACAACGAGTTGGCGGTGCACATGCTTTGCAAATCCTGCAATCGACCGAAAGCTGCACGACAGTTTACTAACCATATTTCGATTTTGTTGCGCGATTTTGATTGGACTATGCATAGACTCTTTAGTCCAGCAAAAATGTAACTCCATAATACCAGCCTAGTTCGGCAAGGGTTGAAACTGGACTTTTAAAGTCAGTTAACTCTCTTGCCTTGGGAAGATGGTTTGTCATGTAGGATTGTGTATATGGAGGATAGGATTTTAAGTTATGTAGTGTTGTTTTTAGATGTAATTATATGCATATAGTGTAATTGTAGCTTAATATTAACCTGAAATTTTGATCAGTGGTGAAATTTTGAATAGATATGAACTCCAATTAATTTTTCAGAATAAACTTGTCAGCGAGATGAAAATGAATCTATACTATATATATATATAATTTAAATAAACACTGTAGACATAGAAATGTGGTAGAAATAGAATTTGTAATATAATCAATACTCTGTAAAAGTCAATATGATTATAAATTTCAAACAAATATAAACATGATAAACATATAATATATATCACAGGATAAATAGAAATATACAAGGTGGATCACAAATGTCTCGATAGTCAGGCTCAAAAAGTCAATGTCCTGAATTTGTGAAACACAAAAAATCAAAAGTCACAAGGTCCATACACTTCAAAAAACAGTTTGATGAATGAATTATTCATCCACATAAGCGTATAAGATGTCCTCGGAAACTGCATGAACTCTTGTATATTGAATTCCATCTACTGGATGATGAACTGCCTCTTCTCACTGTACAAGTGATGATGCTGATGAAACTAGCAGCCCCACGTTGGGCGCCATTTTGTAGCCGGGCGTGGTGTGATGTGTCCAGCCACTGGGCTGCTAGTCAAAACATGAGGCAGTTCTTGAAGATGATGATGATATTTATTCTTTTGGAGTAGATGGTGGGAGGGAAGCTGTAAACAAGAGTCCTCCCTCCATAAAGAGTTCATGCAGAATATGTTATAATTTAATTTAAGCCAAAAGGAAACAGATTAATTTATAGGGATATGTTGGGGAGCACATGGTTGAAGACCATGTGCTCAATTAATGTAACACAAAATGTGTGAGCTGGCAAACATTTAGATATAACAAATTAAATAATAATGCAATTAAATATATTTTACTTTAATGATAAGCTGTGATACCCTTTCTATAAATATAGTTGTTTCCAAAGCAGGATGGAAAGAGATAAGAATATTGAAATGTTTCTCACCTGTAAACAAGAGTCCTCCCTCCATAAAGAGTTCATGCAGAATGCATGAGGAGGGCAGGTGAGAAAGGAAGTTAAAGAAGTGGACCAAAGGGCCAATCAAAAGAAAGGTAGCATCTGACAGGTATTAAAAGGAAGTCAAGATGCTTCAGTCACATAAAGTGGTGAACATATCTAAAAATAGATAGGGGGAAGTCCAGGTGAAGCTGGAGAAATTACAGAGGCTGCAAAAGGGTATCAGGTTGGTGTTAGTTGGCTGACATTCAACTGCAGACAAGGACAACATATAATGAACATATAATGAACACAGAATGAAGTGATGGTGATAATAGATGAACATGTATGTATATATGTATAGAATGAATCTAAGGGGGGTTATAAGTGGGTGGTACTTATATGGCTATAACTCATTCAGAGTTAGCACCACCACCCGGCTACATACACCCCCACTTTGGGAAATGGCGACCTCGCCATTAAATAGCGGCAATGTTTAATTACATCCTCACACCCAGACACTTTGTTTTACAACGAACTGCCCATCTGTCATCCACTTTGGCTTTGTTCGGGTTCGTCCAACTCGCCGAGGTGGTGGCTGTGGAGTTGACGGTCCTGAGCCAGGGATAGAACTGTTTGGTGCAGTTGGTGCTGGTGTGGATGGTGAAACTACTGGTGACACACTTGCAAATGGCGAGCTGATTGGTGGCAGTGCTGACACTGGGGATGATACCGACACTGGAGAAGGAGAACTCTCAATATCCATGTTGGTTGTTGAGATCTCCAGTGTTGTGTCAGTACTTGTGTCCTTAAGCTCGCCAGAAGATGGTGTTGAAACAAAAGTAGTAGTAGTCGTCGTCGTCGATGTCGATGGTGTGCGCCTTGGCCTGGGTATGGGCTGACCATTCGTACCAATGGGAAGGAGTAGATTACGGTGGAGTACACGACATTCTCTGGTTCCTTCCTTATGAACTTTAAACACAGGAATGTCGGCATGAGGTTGAGAATCAACCACGTAATACTCCTCTTCCCACCGGTTAGCCAGTTTTTGCTTCCCACGTATGTTGACGTTACGCACCAATACAACGTCACCAACCTTGAGTGTGGCTCCACGTGCCTTAAGATTATAGGCTTTGCGTTGTTTAGCCTGAGCCCTTTCAAGGTTTGCAGCTGCAAGCTCATAGGCAGTGTGTAATTTGCGCTCTAGATCAGCAGCAAACTGCGTATAAGCTGGTGATGAAATATTGGCCAGTGATGTACCAAAAGCAGCGTCAACAGGCAGCCTAGGTTGTCTGCAAAACATGAGGAAGTAGGGAGTGAACCCCGTTGACTCATGGAGGGAACAGTTATAGGCATGAACTAAGTGAGAAAGGTGATCTTTCCACTTTGCCTTTTGCTGCTCCTCCAGAGTGCCGAGCATCCCTAAGAGCGTCCGATTAAACCGCTCACATAGACCATTACCCATTGGATGATACGGAGTGGTCCGCGTTTTGAGAATACCCAATATGCTGCACAGCTGTTTGATGATATCACTCTCAAAGTTCCGGCCTTGATCAGAGTGCAACTTCTCTGGAATGCCATAGTGAACAATGAAGTGATCAAACAGTACTTTGGCTGTAGTACGTGCCGTTTGGTTGCGAGTGGGAATGGCAACAGCATATTTGGTGAAATGGTCCGTAATGACCAGGATATTCTCATAACCACCAGAGGAGGGCTCCAAGCTGAGATAGTCCATGCACACCAACTCCATAGGTTTAGTGGTTTTGATGCTAACTAATGGTGCACGCTCAGTTTGGTTAGGAGCTTTACGAAGTATACACCTCTGGCAGCAGTGAATCCTTTTCTCCACATCCGTGATCATTCCCGGCCAGTAAAACCGTGTCCGGAGAAGAGCCACGGTCCTGTCCCTACCAAGATGTCCCATGCCGTCATGTAGATGGGTAATGACCTCATCTCTTTTAGACTGAGGAACAATCAATTGATAGTAGGGTACTACACCATCTGAAAGTTGTTGCCTGTGGAGAAGGCCATCTTTGACAGTGAGTGAGTCCCACTGCCTGAGAATGGATGCAGTGTCCCGGTCCATGGATTTAAGAGCCTCCTTGGTTGGACATGTATCATTACGGATGAGGTCCAAAATCGAACAGATTGAGGAATCAGCTTGCTGATATGTTCTCATCCGTTGGCTAGCAACAACGTCAGAAGGTTCCATACCATCGACCGCCAACATACAATTCATCACCTCCTGATAGAGGGAGAGTGTCTCCACGGCACATGATGAGATGAGTTGCCAATTACAGAGAGCAGACACACTTTGAATGTCCATGGACTCACGCGGCAACCTGGACAAAGCATCTGCATCAACATTCCTTGCACCCGGAACATACTCAAGGGAGAAGTCATAAGTAGCAAGTTCTGCGAGCCAGCGATGCCCAGTTGCATCCAACTTAGCAGAAGTTAGGACATACGTGAGGGGATTATTGTCAGTCTTTACAGTGAATGAGTTGCCATACAAGTA